AAAGAAGTGCAGACACAAGGAGCATATGCATCCATGGGAGATGGGTGCTCTCTGCAAGAGCTGGAGGGTCATTGAATGCCTAGCCCTAGAGCGTCATTCAGTCACAGGCCCCTACCCCATCCCCCCTTGAAGCCAGCCCTGCATCATTTCATTGAAAAAAATCTACATATTTATCTTTTTCACAAAGCGCGCATTTAGATCCCGTCCAATGATGTCACAGATCTCACTCATCTTGAAGTAGGGATAGCCGCGGTGAGGTAAGCCGGTGAGGAGGGAGTTACAGTAGTCAAGTCGTGATATATTACGGGAGTGAATGAGTTGCTTAGTAGTTTCCAGGGTTAGGAACGGACGTATTTTGGAGATATTGCGGAGGTGGAGTCTACATGAGTTTGTCAGCGATTGGACCTGGGGTTGGAAAGACAGATTGGAGTCTAAGATGACACCTAGTACTCTAGCTTGCAGGTTGGAATTGATGGTGGAGTTGTTGGTCATGATTGAGAAGTCGGGGGGGGGGGGGTGCGCAGGCTGGGGGGAAAACTAGGAGCTCGGTTTTGGAAAGATTTAGTTTAAGGAAGTGGAGTGACATCCAATCCTATGTCGTTCAGTAGGCTTGTGATACAGGCGGAGACTGAAGGGGTGAGGAGAGAGGTAGAGAGATAGAGTTGCCTGTCGTCGGCATAGAGATGGTAGTTGAAGCCGTGAGAGTGTATCAGTTGGCCAAGGGAGGAAGTGTAGATGGAGAAGAGAAGGGGCCCGAGGACAGAACCTTGAGGGACCCCAACAGAGAGGGGGAGTGAAAGGGAGGTGGAAGCGTTATAGGTAACACTGAAGGAGCGCTGTGATAGATAGGAAGAGAGTCAGGAGAGAGCGGAGTCTCTGAGGTCAAGAGAGTGTAGTTTTTTTGGAGGAGGGGGTGGTCAACCATGTCGAAATCTGCGGAGAGGTCGAGGAGTAGGAGGATTGAGTAGTGGCCATTAGCTTTGGCGGTTAGCAGGTCGTTGGTGAGTTTGAGTAGGGCAGTTTCGGTGGAGTGTAGGGGACGGAAGCCAGACTGTAGGGGATCAAGGAGGTTGTTGTCGGTGAGGTGGGAACTCAGGCGATTATAGACGAAGCGCTCAACCCACTCTTGAAGACCAAGCCTTTTCTGACACTTTTTGTTCACATGAAAAAACAGTTTTTTTTACTAGAAAACTACTTTGAACCCCCAAACATTATATATTTTTTAAAGCAGAGGCCCTAGAGAATAAAACGGTGGGTGTTGGGAAAAATACACTTTTTAGTATTTTAATGCACAAAAACACAATATATTGCCCAATTATTTGATAAAATATAAAATATGATGTTACACCGAGTAAATAGATACCAAACATGACATACTTTAACCCCTTGGCGCTGGTGCCTCCCAGCCCTTTAAGGGTTTCAGAAGCCAGGAGGCGGGGAGCGGTTTTAGGGTCATGGCTGTCACGGCGGTCACATGATCAAGAAAGGTCCTGATCAAAAGAGGAGATCGGGACCTTCCCGTGAGTACCGGATATGTGTGCTGGGAGCACGGAGCATGCAGCACGCGCGCTCTCAGCAAATATGTTTTTCTTAATTGCACGCAAACATGCGGCCGCTCGGCGTCAAGGCCCAGATGCTGGGAGGCCGCACATTTGCGTGCGGCCAGCGCCAAGAGGTTAACATTGCACATGCCGGTGCAATGGCAGCAAAGTACATACATTTTTATTATCGATAGGTGATGCTTAAAAGCCTTTACAGGTCACCAATTTATATTTACACAGGATGTCTAGTGCTGGAATTACTGCCCTCGATCTGATGTTCGTGGCAATACCTCACATGCATGGTGCAACTGCTGTTACATACCAACACGGGGTAAAAGCCTGTGCATGCAGGTGCGCACGTGCAGGAGGGCAAGGGTGCTTTTTTTTTTTTTTAGGTTTTTTTTTAGGGTTTTTTTTTTCTATTGTTATTTTTACACTGTCCCTTTCTTTCTTTTTTTTTGATTACTTTTATTGCTTTCACAGGGAATGTAAATATCCCCTCTGTGGACCAATATGTCTGCAATTCATTCTTTTTTGTAATGTCCATGTTGAGGGTTAGGACCAAAAAAGTTTTACATTCAGAAACCGTGATAGGTTTCCATGCGAATTGTCTGGCAAGAGCTGAGTTTGGGTGGGCGGCGATGTATTGTTGTGCGTATAAATTGCCTTGGCCCACAATCAATTGGTACAAATCTTCTATGAAGAACAGCGGAGGGGCTAAACGCTAGTGCAGACAATGAACAGGGCTGTTCCTGCTAACACTGTATTTTTGGGGACACTATACAAAGGAGGCACTAGTATAGTTCTGTTCATGATCAATATATTGATCTGTACAAACACTATACTAGTAATGGGGGTGATCAGTGACCTATAGCATGAGTGTGTAGTGTGAGGGCAATCTAACACTAGCTGACCCTGGCTGGGGCGCTTACTGACCCTGACATTATCTGATGTCGCTAGTGGCAGGAATGCAGTGACCAGTAAAAAGTTCTATATACTGACACCAGGGGTGGACTGACAACTCATGGGGCCCCCGGGCAATAGGGGATCATGGGGCCCCTGTGTCCTTGCCCAAACTCAAAAAAGCCTATGAAAAAGGTACCAGGGGCATCTCATGGGGCCCCCTACTGACCCCAGGCCCTCGGGCAGTGACCGAGTTTCCAAATGTTCAGTCCGCCCCTGACTGACACTGTACTAATGGCACTGGCTGGGTGACGGGGTGATCAAAGGGTTAATAGGGGCGATCAAAGGGTTAAATTTGCTAATCTACCGTGTGTGTGTAAAATGTAGTGCTTTTACTCAGTGCTGTGTTCTGTCTTCTCTCCCTGGACAGACCGAGGGGACAGCAGGGGGCGCAGGTGCGCTCACACCCCAAAACAGGAAGCGTCGCAAGATTACATCGCTTTGGCAAGAGCTGCTGCTCGCCCTCAAAAGGCTGCAGTACATTGTGGGTGGGCGGGAAGAGGTTAATTATATATTTTTTGTTTTTATTTTGTTTGGTTTTTTTGTTTGTTTTTTTGGGGTGGGGGGTGGTAGGGATTGTTTACTTTTTTTGTGTGAGCATAGATCTATGTTTGTCTATGGATTGAAGCTCAGGTTTCACAGCTAATTGATACAGTAGTTGTTCAGCTGTTCAGGATAGGTTTACATCAGGTTCAGGATAGGTTCAGGTCAGGATTATCCTGTTTACACATATGCAGTTTAGAAACAGTTCCCATAGAAGTCAATAGCCTATAATCCGTACCTGAACCGGACCACACTGCTCAGAAATCATACATGACTCGTTTTCAATCCGCACTGAATCTGCACAGCTACTGCACTGGACATATGTGAACAGGCACCATAGAAAGCAATGTTATTTCACATGTCATGTGGATTGGATGTGGTTCAAATAGCATCCAATCCGCATGTACACTATATTGCCAAAAGTATTGGGACGCCTGCCTTTGTACGCACATGAACTTTAATGGCATACCAGTCTTAGTCCATAGGGTTCAATATTGAGTTGGCCCACCCTTTGCAGCTTTAACAGCTTCTACTATTCTAGGAAAGCTGTCCACAAGGTTTAGGAGTGTGTCTATGGGAATGTTTGACCATTCATCCAGAAGTGCATCTGTGAGGTCTGGCACTGATGTCGGACGAGACGGCCTGGCTTACAGTCTCCACTCTAATTCATCCCAAATGTGTTCTATTGGGTTGAGGTCGGAATTCTCTTCAGGCCAGCAAAGTTCCACCACCCCAAACTCACTCATCCATATCTTTATGGACCTTGCTTTGTGCACTGGTGCACAGTCATGTTGGAACAGGAAGGGGCCATCCCCAAACTGTTCCCACAAAGTTGGGAGCATGAAATTGTCCAAAGTGTATTGGTATGCTGACGCCTTAAGAGTTCCCTTCCCTGGAACTAAGGGGCCAAGCCCAACTGCTGGAAAACAACCCCACACCATAATCCCCCCTCCAACAAACTTTACACTTCGCACAATGCAGTCAGGCAAGTGCCGTTCTCCTGGCAACCACCAAACACAGACACATCCATCAGAATTTCAGACAGAGAAGCATGATTCAACATTCCAGAGAACACATCTCCACTGCTCTAGAGTCCAGTGGCGGCGTGCTTTACACCACTGCATCCGACGCTTTGCATTGCACTTGGTGATGTAAGGCTTGGATGCAGCTGCTCAGCCATGGGAACCCATTCCATGAAGCTTTCTACACCCTATTGTTGTGCTAATCTAAAGGCTACACAAAGTTTGGAGGTCTTTAGCTACCGACTCTGCAGATATTTGGTGACTTCTGCGCTTCAGCATGCGCTGACCCCACTTTGTCATTCTAAGTGGCCTACCACTTTGTGGCCAAGTTGCTGTTGTTCCACGTTGCTTTCGCTTTGTTATAATACCACTAACAGTTGACTGTGGAATATTTAGTAGCAAGGAAATTTCACAGATGGATTTATTGCACAGGTGACAACCTATCACGGTACCATGCTTGAATTCACTGAGCTTCTGAGAGCGACCCATTCTGTCACAAATGTTTGTAGAAGCAATCTGCATGCCTAGGTGCTTGATTTTATACACCTGTGGCCACGGAGGTGATTGAAACACCTAAATCCAATGATTTGGAGGGGTGTCCCAATACTTTTGGCAAGATAGTGTATGTGAACCGGCACTTACTGTTGACTGACTCTCTACCTCTGCTGGAAGTCTATTCCAAGCATCAACTACTCTTTCAGTATAATAATACTTTCTAAGATTAGTTTTCAACTTTCCTCCTTTTAGTTTAACCACTAGCCTACAGGGCACTTATACCCCCTTCCTGCCCAGGCCAATTTCCAGCTTTCAGCGCTGTCACACTTTGAATGACAATTGCGCGGTCATGCAACACTGTACCCATAAGACATTTTTATCTTTTTTGTGACAGATAGAACTTTATTTTGGTGGTATTTAATCACCTCTGGGTTTTTTATTTTTCTTAAACAAACCAAGAACCACTGAAAATTTTGAAAAAAAAAGTTTTTTTTCTTAGTTTTTGTTATAAAATGTTGTAAATAAGTGATTTTTCTCCTTTACTGATATGCGCTAATGAGGCTGTAGTGATGGTAACTGATAGGGTGCACTGATGGACACTGATAGGTGGCACTGATTAGGAGACACTGGTAGGTGGCACTAATGGGCATTGACAGGCATCGCTGATGGGCACTGAAAGGCAGAACTCATATATGTGTAAAATAAGGAAAAATGAGCGCACTCCAATGAGCGGCAAATGCACAAAAAGGAACTACAAGCCCTTCCAACCAAAATAAAACAATATAAGTGCAGCGCTACAAACAATATCCAAATGGCAATTGAAATATAAACGATTGTCAAATATAAGAATGTTGGAGATGATAAACAGTTCAGTGAAGGGGGACTCGCAGGGAGTATAGGTGTAATCCAATCCCAGGAATAGATAAATTGCCTGCTTACCAGAAGTGCAATTAGAATGCGCATGTACAGATTACATGTAGCTGGGATCCCATGTAGGCGCTGCTTTATAGTACCCAGATGGTCCGTCGGTGGTAAGACGATGCTGGCCTGGTCGGATCACACTGCTCCTTGGATCCACACAGAGAACCTAAAAATGCTGGGGCTGAGGTATGGGAACTCAGTGCCAGGTGTAAGGAGTAAAAATACTCATAGTGTAGTATGTTTTAAAATTATTTATTAAATCCAATACGTAAAACCATATAAGTTTACAAAACGCATGCCTGCAGCCTGTAGCCAGTATATGCAGCTTGAAAAAGAGATCCTATACACTGACCAGTAAAAACCATGGGTGGGCCGCCGGACCTCCTGACCCGGTGGCGTAACGTCAAGGCGTGCGAAGGCTCCTCCTAACGCGTTTTGTGTCAATACACGTCCACTGTAGGGGTGATGCCATGCATGCCTGACGTCTGTTTGCCTCTTTATATGTTTAAAAATCGCGCCAAACCGCACTAGCGCCGCCTTGCTGACGATTTTCCTGAAGTTTGGGAACCATAAAGATGGCCGCCGCGTGTCCCACTGCGCATGCGCGAACAGTCCGGTCGCCATTTTCTCGGTTGGATATAAACATCCAGCCGATCACCAGTGCGCCTGCGCGAACCAGGGCGGCCGCCATTTTCTTGTGGATTTTCAAATGTAAAGGAGGGGACTGGAGCCGGAATGACTGATCCGCCGCATACAGGGAAACAGTCAGGTGACAGTCCCCTAGGTGTTTAGAAGCTATATACCTCACAGGAGGGACTTCATAAATATACTCTCGGTTTATTGGGGCATAAAAGGGATCAGGTCTTCTAATACCTGTATCCCATGGTGATATGACACATGTGCATGAAACACGGGCGCCCATCTAGCAGAGGTCCACTATACGTACATATATGTATCCCTAAGTCAAATGGGAATAAAGTAAATCATATGAGGTGTGAAACCAAAATACAGAAATAATAAAATATTCCATAATCCTTAAGTTAAAATCAAACACATATGACATTCATATAAAAAAATGCATATATCGTAAAGATGATAATTATAATGCGTCTACTGACATAACGCACCAGAATTACCCCCCATGGACCCACTGGAATAGATGCGGATCCATAAGGACATAAAAAATATCAAAACAACAAAGACCTCAATTACAAGGGAAGAAGACATAAAAAGGAGCATCTACAAGATGTTATAATTGATACATCAACACACATAATCGCATGTAAAGGAAGCGAATATTTAGAAGACTTCCTTAGGAAGTGACCAAAAACAGGATATGTGTTACAACTGCCCAGATACAGTAAAATGACCAAAATTGCACTAAAAACCCTCATAAAAAACCACATGTTGAGAACTGTTGTGCAAATATAAGGGACTATGTGAACTGCCAACCCATAAACTGTCATATGTGAGGTCAGTCCGTATATAGGCTTCAACTGTTATCGATGAAGCAGTTTAGGTCCAGTTCTACATTGTGACCTAACGGTGTCATAGACTTCATCTCAAAGATCCATTTAGTCTCAAGACGCGAGACTTCCCTACTTCTATTTGAACCCCTCCAGTGATGTTGTACAACATCAATGCCTGTAAACCTAAGGGTAGAGGGATCCCTATGGTGATGGTCTCTGTAATGCTTAGATAGAGAATGTTCGCGAAAACCCCTTTTGATATTATAGACGTGATCACGAAGGCGATCACGAAGGCGATCACGAAGTCTCCTCGTAGTCCTTCCAATGTATTGCTTCTGGCACGGGCACTCCAGAAGATACACTACATAACGTGAGTTACAAGAAATGAACGTAGTTATTTCATAATCTTTCCCAGTTATGGTGGAAGCGAAGGATTCGACTTTCCTCTTAGATCTATTGCCATACTTGCATATTTGGCATTTCTTACAGGGAAAGAAAATCCTCAGATTACCAAAGAGCTTAGGATGTGTGGGTGGATCCAGTATATTAGGGGCAATGGTGTTACGAAGCGATGGGGCCCTTTTGAAAATAATTTCCGGATTTGTAGGTAAGCACTTAGAGAGAATGGGGTCTGCTCTAAGTACTTCCCAATTTCTTGTCACAATGTGGCGTATTGTCTTATGCTGAATAGAGTAAGGGGTGATGAAAGGACAGAACAGATCTTTCTTTGGGTTAGGTGGTCCTAAGAGCATATCCTGCCTGTCCAGTTTGGCTACCCTGTCAATTTCCTGATCTAGGGTTTCCGCTGTGTAGCCTTTATCCAAAAACCTTTGTCTTAGGACTTTTACTTTTTCATGATAGGTCCCGATTTCCGTACAGTTACGCCTTATCCTCATGAATTGACTCTTAGGGATGCTGTTTAGCCACTGCGGATGGTGGCAACTGTCAATCGGGATGTAACTGTTCCTATCTGATGTTTTGAAGTAAGCTTCGGTGCTACAATATCCTCCTTTGTTAAAGATGGTGATGTCCAGAAAATTCACACAATTAATACTATACTCATACGAGAACCTGATGTTAAGATTATTGTTGTTAAGTGTGCCGAAGAAGCTAATGAGAGAAGTTTCTTCCCCCTGCCATAGGAGGAGGACATCATCTATGTATCTTTTATAGAATAGCAATTCAGGCCAATCTCTAGAATAGATGATGTCCTCCTCCCACCTTGCCATAAACAAGTTAGCCAGGCTCGGGGCGAATTTAGCGCCCATTGCTACACCCCTGGTCTGTAGATAGAAATTATTGCCAAACCAGAAGTAGTTGCTTCTCATTGCAAAATTCAAAAGACTCAGAATGAAGGTTTTATGTGTGGCGGAAACATTATTAGCCAGATTAAGGTAATAGTCTGCAGCTGACATGCCATCATCATGGTTGATGTTACTATACAGCGATGCGACATCAGCTGTCACCAGGAAAGTTGTCAACTCAGGATTCCAATTTAAAGTACTAACTTCATTTAATACTTGTTTAGTGTCTTTAATATAGGCTGGAGTAGCAAGGACCAGAGGCTGTAAAAAATAATCAATGTACTGTCCAACTTTTTAGAACAGAGTGACCTGATGCCACTGATAATAGGTCTACCAGGGGGGTGTGTGGCATTTTTATGTACTTTAGGCAAATAATAGAAAACAGGAGTTTAGGTGCCTTAGGACATAGAAAATCTTTCTCCTTGTTATTAATTACATGGAGTTCATGTCCCTGTTTAATAAGATTCTTTAGGGTTCGTTTAAAAGCGATAACAGGGTCCTTAGGAAGTATGATGTAAGTATCCTTGTCACCAAGGATGTTTAGGGCCTCAGCTACATAGTCTTTTTTATTTAGGACGACTATTCCCCCTCCCTTATCCGCAGGCCTGATAACAAGATCTTTGTTATTCAGGAGTGATTTCAGACCTATACTAAGATCCTTAGGTTTACAGGGGTGCTTAACTCATTGATATAAGACTGTTTAGGAGACACTGGTAGGTGGCACTAATGGGCATTGACAGGCATCACTGATGGGCACTGAAAGGCAGAACTCATATATGGCACTGATAGGCTGCACTAACTGGCACTGATAGGCTGCACTGACTGGCACTGTTAGGTGGCACTGACTGGCACTGTTATGCGTCATTGATAGGCAGCACTGATGGGCACTGATAGGCGGCACTGATGCACACTGATAGGCAGCACTGACTGGCACTGATAGGCGGCACTGATATGTGGCATTGACTGGCATTGATAGGTGGCACTGACTGGCACTGATGAGTGACACCGGGCACTGAAATGTGGCACTGATGTGGCATTGATGGGCTCTGGCAGGTGGCATGGATGAGCACTGACAGGTGGCACTGCTGGGGCTACACAGATCATCAGGGCACACTGATCATCAGTGCTCTGATGATCTGTGTACATGTCCCCTCAGAGGAATGCCGTTTACCGGCTCTCCTCTCCTCACGAGCTGTCAACGTGACAGCTCGTGAGGAGAGAAATGCCGATAACCGGCATTTCCCTGTTTACATGTGATCAGTTGTGATTGGACACAGCTGATCACATGACCGAGCCGACATCTTTGGCTCTTTCCGTTGATTGGTTATCCGCTGTGTCCGAGGGACACAGCGCACTGCCGATCACCACGCTGCTAGCACCCGGAGCCGTGCATGCCCGGTTAGAATGGGAGGACGTCATATGACGTCCTCCCAGAACGAGAGAACCGCCTTGCGCCCATCATTGTACTATATGTGCACCGCACAGTGTATATACTCGCCGTTGTCCTCGGGTGCAGAGTGACGTCGTAGCTCCTCCCCTACGCGTTACACCACTGGCTTCATCAGGGGTTGTGATTCACCCGAGGACAACGGCGAGTATACACACTGTGTGGCGCACACACAGAGTGTTTCATTTGAAAAGCGCTATATGTTTTTATCTAATGTAAGTGCAATATTAGGGCACCTTAATAAAGGTTTACTTTCTAAAGGATAAAGCTATCTACTAGGCTTATAAGAAGGTGAGCGCATAACTTAACTGTAATAAGGATTCAAAGAAAGTCACAAATATCGCCTTGGATCACATTAATACTCTGTTTTGGGACTATCACAAATTTATTGATCAGTAGAGACGTTTCTATAATTTTTGGATCACATCACCTAAATTTTTTAAGTTTATAACATATTGAATACCAACTAGGTGGCACATATTGATTTTGTTTTTTATGGATATATAATAGTTGTGTTGTGGGAATTGGTTTATCACTGCATGATTTGTGTAGTATTTGCTTATATTGGGAGCACAACATATATGGTTTATAGCTCTACATAGAAACCAATCTGTATCCAGCTTTTATTGTGAAAGCTTAAAGTGTTAATAAGTCAAGGAAGGAGGGATAATACAAATGCACTTTATGGGCACAGAAACTACATACACGTGTTAATAAAATCAGTGTTGCTTTATGTGACATTGCGTCACATATAAACCATAAGGTTAAAAAACACTTTATATAATATAACCGCAGTGAATGTTCCAAAGCCCACCATGTAATGGAAGGAACACAACCAGTGATGAAGCATAGAAGTAACCACCAGGATGATCCTACAGGGGGATGAGGGACATTCTAGCGCTGGAGAGTTTGCCCAACATGTTTAGCGACAGCAGTCACTTTCTCAGGGGCTAATTGTATATCTAAAAAAGATACATATGCTTAGATAAACACAACAAGAAGTCATACAAACATAGTAAAGGACTTGTAAAGAATATAATAGGAAAACAAAGTTACAAAGAGTATCATTATGCACCAGACAGTCATGGGCCCTCCAGTCTGTGTGAGCAGGCCTCCTCTATGTCCCTAGCAGGACGGAAAGCCATCCAGGGGGCCAGATATGGGGTTGCAATACTAGCAAGACAGACCAGAACCCAGAGGTGCCTAAAAGGACTAAATTCCCAATAGGGAGGAGTAATGGAGAGCCAAAAGGAGCCTAAATAGAAATATATAGACTAGAAATATCATCCTTAATTCAATAGTACTAGTAAAGCAGCTGTTAAACGCGGGTTTAGGAGCTTTTTGCATTTTTTTGCCAAAGCTCCTAAACTCAACTGAATAAAAGCATATGTGCCATATTTAGGTGAGGATAAACCTCCCTCTCCTGAACGCAGAAGAATCACATTCAGGATAGGAACCTTTTGACCCCCGACCGTGGGAAAACGGCAATTAGCGTACACTGCAGCTGCTAAAATGACATTCAGGAGCTGTTGAGCAATTTTTTCAGCAGCCCCTGAACTCTCCCTAATGTTTTCCTATGTGTCCATGTACACATAGTCATTTACAGTCATTTACAGGCAGTTGAATTTACAGTCATTTTTTTGGAACACACCAAAATTGGGTTCAGAAGTAAATTTTACCAGCATTTCAAACTCCAAACATTTGTAAACACGTGTAAACACAGTTAACCGCGTTTACAAGAGTTGCATTTAGACACATATCCAGATGCTGTCCAGAGCCTTTTTTCTTCATCAGAATGCATGTAAAGCATTTTCCATGTATTCAAATGGGCCTAGTACACCAACGCAGTCAGTTCCAGGTTTTGTGTGAAGGAAAAAATGGAAGAACGTGCTGCATTATGCTCATGATGGGATCCATAGTGAATGCAACCAGAGAACGACAGATACTGCTCCCTCTGCTTCTGCTCTCTCTATTTCCCTCAAAATGTCTGAAATGGTTAATGGGAGTTGCACTTTGCAAGTATAGTCCTGTTTGGGGAAAAGGGAAAGGGTCATCCGAAATGGCCCTCCCCAAACAGAATATTGCACTAAACCTGTAGGTCGGGGGTCAGCAACCAGTAGATCGTGATCTACCAGTGCATCTTGACCAGTTGACTGGTAGATCTTGGTCTGGGCTTGCTGACACGCCATCCCAGAGGATCAAACAGAGTTTAGTGCAGAGGAACTACTTGTAAAATTGAAGCTGTAGTAGGGAGCAAGAGCCGCATAAGTTGATGTCTCCTTTGTAGTGATGTCCCTATCAGGGGCGTATTTACCACAAGGCAAAAACAAGGAATTTGCCTAGGGCGACATCTTTCAGGGGGGCAGCGGCATTTTTCAGAGGGGCATCGCCATCCCCCTAAAGAAGGGATAGAAGAAGAGACACACATACAGCATGGGGACCAGGTGGGATCTAAGAGAGGCTGCGGGCTGCTTGATGGTGTATGCAGAGCCTGACTCTTGTTCCCGGGGATGTACGGAGCTGTGAAGGTGAGTGTCTTCTCTTTTGCTGGGGTGGGGGGGAGTTGCCACTGTATGCGGGGGCGGTGGTAATGGAAGGTTCTCTCGGGTGGGGGCGAGGGGCTGGGGTGTTGTTGGTCAGTGTCAGTCACTCTTCATGTGGGAGGGGGGTGTTGGTCGGTGTCAGGTCTCTCCGTGGGGGGAGCTGATTTTTGTGTTGCCTAGGGCAGCAGGAAACCTAAATACACCACTGCCTCCTATACCCTGTCATGGATGGTCGGTTGGAGCACCAGCCAAGCATGACCCATTCAAGTGAATGAGGCTGTTCTGCAAGTGCCCTGCAACCCTGTGCAGTACAGAAAACAAGGGGTTAAACAAGGCAGCGGTGTGTTGCTTTCTCACACCTGCTTTAAGCCCTTGTATGCAGTTGCAGGGTAGCTGGGAAGAATGTCCCTTTTACTTGAATGGGTCATGGTTGACAGGCAGTAGCATTCACCAAAAGCAACAGGGGGTGTAATTCCTTCTGCGGCATATGTACACCTTTGGCTGCTGCCTCAGCAGCTATAGGGGGTAAGGGTTTTACCAATCCCCAACTTTACATGTGAGCAGGCCCTTAGGGTGCCGCTGCCGATGAACTAAGGGCTCATTCACAGGTGCAGTAGGTGAATAAGAGAACCAGAACCTTCACTAAGTGAAAGAGTGAGTTTGATATTAAAGTTGACAGTACCTTCATTCAGGACAGGACCACTGTAAGCAGAGGGGATTCACTTCCTGGGAAATTACTAATCTAATCAAAGCAACTAGTATATAACGTAACAATAAGTACAGTATATAGATGCAGACCAGTATAGAAAACAATACAATCTTTATATAAGAAGAGATTAATAACAGTTCATACATCCAATGTACAGACGGATATTATCAGCAAAGGGCCCAAAAGGAGTCCTGCTATTCAAAAGTATTTGTTGGCAGCACAGTGGTTAAATGGTATTGCAGTACTAGGGTCATCAGTCCAAATGCCAACCATAGCACCATCTGCCTGCAGTTTGCATGTTCTCCCTGTGCCTGTGTGGGTTTCCTCCCACACTCCAAAGACATGCTGGTAGGTAAATTTGCCCTAGTATGTGTATAATTATTGTAAATTAGGGACCTTAGATTGTACATTACTTGAGGATTAGGGACTGAGGATTAGGGACTGATGTGACTGATGTGTACAATATATATGTAAAGTGCTATGTAAATGAGCCCTCCAGAGTATTTATCCCCCTTCCTGACCAGGCCATTTTTTGCATTATTTTAACTGACAATTGTGCGTTCATGCAAACATTGCACCCAAATTAAATTTCTGTCTGTTTTTTTTTCCCACAAATAGAGCTTTCTTTTGGTGGTATATGATTGCCTGTGTGTTTTTATTTTTTGCGCTATAAACAAAAAAATACAGAAAATTTTGAGAAGAAAAAACAATATTTTTGACTTTTTGCTATTAAATGTGTCCAATAAGAAAATTTAAAAATAAAATTGCGTCATAAATTTAGGGCAAAATGTATTCTGCTACATCTCTTTGCTAAAAAAAAAAATCCCAGTACGTTTAAGCAGGCCTGCGGGACTACGGTGGGCATTCTGACACTGGAAGGAACTGACTTGGTATCACTGACATCCCCGGTGATACCAATACTGGATTAGTGTTAATAAAAAGCACTGACACTGTACTAATGGCACTGGGCAGGAAGGAGTTAACATCTGGGGCGATCAAAGGGTTAAACCGTGTGCTGTGTCACAGTATGCTGTGTGTGTGCTTTCTACTGTAAGCACACTGCTTTGTATGGCTCTGTATGGTGGTGCAGCTGCGAATCCGCGCGCAAATCCCGCACCACCCGCACTGTATGGGTGCCTTTAGTTCACCCGCACTGGAAAACACAACCGTACTGGGATCCGAGGTTCCTGTGCAGGCTGTGTTTTCCAAAGAAGTGCAGGGACTTCTGCCCTGCGTGTCACGGGCACGGGAGTCCATTCAAATGAATGGGTTCTTGTGCCCATGCAAAATGCGGCCCGCACGGCCTCATATATGTGAACCAGGGGTAATACAGCATAACAGTAATTTCAGTCCAGTATTTCTTTATTAAAGGATTCCTGTCAGCAGATATCCTCAGCTATGTGACCTGCTTGGGTTTAATCTGTGTTATGTTAGAGGTTTATACTTTTGCATAGCTAATACTTTCAGTAATGAGTATTTGTCTATCCCCATTCTCAAAAAACCCTCGCTGGACCCCACCTGTTTGAATAACTTAAAACCCATCTCCCTGCTCCCGTTTGCCTCCAAGCTTCTCGAGCTCCTTGTTCACAACCGTATGAACTGCTACCTTACCGACAACAACAACCTTCTTGATCCCCGACAGTCTGGCTTCCGTCCACACCATTCCACAGAAACTGCCCTACTAAAACTCACTAATGACCTACTAACTGCTAAAACCA